TTCTTCTTCTCTCTCTCTCTCTCTCTCTCTCTCTCTCTCTCTCTCGAAGGGACAACGTAAAGAAAGAACCAAATGACCCACAGGACCAAGTGGCTTGTCTTCTCACGGTACGTCGTTTTGCTGTTGGGAAGATTCTATGGAACTAAACCGGAGGAGCCATACTCTCTTGAAAGAAAATTCCAGAAACACGACATCAATCTAGGTGATATTCTATCTTCAATTTATTTGCGTGTCTTATCGTTTTCTTTGCCTTCACTGTCCTTAACCTCCACCTCGCCGTTGACTTGCCATTTTGTATAATAGATGATTAAATCAAATCAATCTACCAGTAGCGCATGTCGTAATGCGACACAGTCAAGCATGAGGGTAGGGCCCGTTGAGAGAAGGTCGCAGAGGCGATATGATTCATTTGCCGGTCTGAGCTCTCATTGATGACTCAAGTCTTGTACAGATTTGGTCTGGGTCAGACGCGAGGGACGGGGACCGGCTTTTGTAAATGCGAGTGCAAGGGTAATCAATGCTGCTTGTTTGACATCCATCATGAGGTGCCGCAGGATACCATGACATTCAAACTCTAGTGTCCCTTCAGTCTCATAATGGATTTGCCCAGCTTTGAAGACAGTGAAATACCGGTTCTTCGCAACTATAGGATGTAATAATTTAAAATTTTATTAGATATTAAAGATATATTATTATCATTCATCTTGGTATAATTAGAGAAATATCTTATGTGCTTTTATTTAAGTAAATCTTTTATCAATGTAATTCAAATTTGGAAAGAAAAAATTCTCCACGAGAATCTGATTAGAACAAGACTCAAGCAGGTATCGTATGGATCGGATTGTACCATACTTGGTATACGATCTTTGGGATATTAGATGGATGATGGACTATAAATATACAGTAATTGAGGATATACATGTTCAATTGATTCGATTCTCTTACATCATCTAGGGATTGCGACATAGTAGCCTAGTACATCCGTAGTCGACGAGTCGAGTGAATTATTATGAAGATAATAATTCACTGAGTTAGAAGGAGTTCTGATAGGTATGACTCATGACTAGCTCGATATTTGACCTAGAGGGTCACACACATATTGTAGGTATTACGACGAGTTGAGGTTCGAATATGAGATATCCGTTGGAGCTCCTATATTATTAGATATATAATAAGCCCCTGAATTATTGGATCATATGGATGTAATCAAATAAATGTCAAGAGAGATTATTGAGTAGAGATCTACTAATCTAAGAGGTTTCGGCAGTTGGATGAAGATCTAGTACCAATAGGATAAGATCTATTATGGTTAAGTTGATATGAGACCTCTATGAATAGAAAGGAACTAAAGGACCATAGGCTAGACCTCTTTTGATTGCTACATCTTATTCTCCTCTCCCCCTTTACTTCTTAGCCAACAGCCCCTGTTTGAGACGTGTGGATAATAAGAAGGGTCAACCCCTTCTTGATTTCGCGATGTGCGTAAAGAGGAGGTTTATACAGTGATTTAAGTAGCGTCTTCGTAGCCCTTGTCGTTTGGATCACTATTAGAAAGGATGATAGCTAACCTCATTCATCCTCTCCCATATATCTGTAGGTTTTTAGAGATATACGATCTCTTTATATAACATATCTTTTATATACGTGCAATTTTTCAGTTTTGTATTTTTTTGTGCACCAAGCACGATGACGAGAAACTATTTTGTATGAAAAATTAAAAATTTTATTTTATATCTTTTCACTGTGCATGTGATATCGCTTTAGGTTTCCGAACACGTATATCCCTAAAATTTTTTAGATCTATGAGTAGATAAAGGAGGTCAACTGTCCTCTTCTCTAGTGGTGATCCACATGGTAGATATGACGAAGACACTCCTTAAATCACTGCACGATCTTTCTTTCTATGAGCACCATGTGATCAAGAACGGGTCGACCCTTATTACTATCCACACACTCTAAACTGAGGCTATCGATTGAGAATGAGAGGGAGGGAGGGAGGGAGGAGAATAGGAAGTGGCAGCTATGCAGCGATAGCAAGAAGGGCACTATGATCCAATAATTCATGGGCTTATTGGATATCCAATAAGATATAGGCTCCAGCGAATATCTCATATTTGAATATCTACTCATCACAACACATACCATATGTGTATGACTCTCTAGGCTGAATATCAAGCTAGTCGTGAGTTATACCTGTCAAAACTCCTTCTAACTCAGTAAATTATTATCTACATAATAATTTACTTGACTCATCAACTACAGATATATTAGGCCACTACACCATAGTCCCTAGATGATAAACGAGAATTCAATCAATTAGATCTGTCTATTCTCAATTACCGTGTAGCTTAGTCCCTCATCCATCTAATATCCCAAATACCATATAACGGGTATGGTGTTGTCAAGCCCATACTGAATCTGCTCGAGTCTCACTATAATCGAATTCTAACGGAGAACTCTTTCTCTCTTAATTCGAATGACTCTGGTTGGGGATTTGCTTAAGCATAACACATAAGATATTCCTCTCATAACATTGAGAGTAGATAATCCTTTATTGATATTCAATTACCCTTATAAGGTTAGCGAATGTACTATGTCACTACATCGTAATCCCTACATGATACAAGAAAATTCAATCCATTAGACCTGTCTATCCTTAGTTATCATTTATCTATAGTTCCTCATCTATTTAATATCTCAAAGACTGTATACCGAGTATAGTGCTATCAAGCCCATACAACTTTTACTTGAGTCTCGCTCTAATTAAATTCTCCCATAGAACTCTTTCTCTCTAAATCTGAATGACCATGGCTAGGAATTTGCCTATGCTAAAATATATAGAATATTTCTCTCATGACACCGAGAGCAGATAATTCTCTATTGACACTCAATTACCTTCGTAAGGTTGGCTATTACTCCCGATGACCAACTGTGCTAGATCTAAAATTTTTTGACCTATAAGTCTGTTATCAAAGAGTGGAGTACTCATATATGATATTCTTAGTGTCTTAAGTCTAAGAATCAGATACACAATTAGGATGATAGAATGATTAACCAACAATGAAGTATCATCAACTATCTAATAATTTGTAAGTAGATCAATCAACGAACTCATTCTATAATGAACACCTGCATTGTATCCCTAGTGTTCCTACATGAGCTGCTATGAGATCAGTCACCTCCATTATCTAAATGGGTATATAGCATACTAGTCTATTCGGTTATCTCGATATCTCTCTCGAGTAACCTACAATTGAAATTATTTATGATATATGTTTAAAAGCAAATCGGTATTATTATCGTGATCTCATCATGATCCGATTCTCATTACATACATCCATGGATATAATAATATATGTAATAGGTAATATAAAGTGAGAAAATACTAATAAATAATAAATAAATAAAAAGAGTGTGTATCGTGTCATACATGTCATTACTCATGTGATTGACTTGCAGAGTACCTATGACTATTATATTATTAAAAGGTTTGGCATGAAAAATTTCATGAGAGGTATTATACCGATGAGATATGAAATATCACTTTCTAGGATTATATCCCTAAAGATACCTAAAGAAAGGATAAACATGAATATAATATCCTATGTCTCGGCGACATGATCTATCATATATGTTATGCTATGTACCATACCTGATATAGCGCATGCTTTAATTATTGCGAGTAGATATCAAATGGATCCAAGTTTGGAATATTGGAAGACAGTAAAGTATATTTTTAAGTACTTGAGAAGAACTAAGGATCTTTTACTAGTATATGGAGGAAGTAGCCATAGGGTTTAGGGCTACACGGACTCTAGTTTCTAATCCAATATTGATGATAGCAAGTCTAACTCAAGGTGTGTGTTCATCCTGAATAGAGAAGCAGTTTGCTGCGACAGAAGTAGCATAAGAGAGAGTTTGGATGAAAAAGCTTATCATAGATCTAAGAGTTATGTCAAGTAGCAAGGAGTTGATTACCTTATATTGCAATAATAATGGGATAATTGCTCAAGCGAAGGAACACAAGTCTCATAAAAAATCCAAGCATATTCTAAGGAGGTTCCACTTGATCAGAGAGAACATGGCCTGTGGAGATGTAGCAATGGAAATAATTTCATCTAAGGATAATATTATAGATCCATTGATGAAGTTGTCATCTCATATTATCTTTGAGCGTCATAAGGGTCTAATGGGGATCAGACATATAGGTGATTGACTTTAAGTCAAGTGAGAGATTGCTAGTCATAGGTGCCCTATAAGTCAATCACATGAGCGATGACACGTGTGATATGTGGTGCAGTCTTTTTTGCATATTATTATTGATATTTTTTATACTTTATGTTGCTTATTGCATATCTTATGATGTCCATAAATTTATGTAATGAAAATCGGATAGTGATGAGATTATGATAATGAGATCGATTTGCCTTTAAACATAAATATTAAGTAATTCCAATCATAGGTTACACGTGAGGGACATCAAGATAATCGAATAGACCTGTGTATTGTATACCCATCCATTTGATGGAGGTAGTTAGTCTCATAACTGCTCATGTGGAGACAATATAAATACAATGCAGATGCTTATTGAAGAATGAGTTTACTAATTGATATGCTCACAGAATGTTAGATGGTTAATGATACCTCATCGTTTCACAATAGTTCCGCGGTCTCAATTATGTGTTTAATCCTTAGACATGAAACACCAAGGATGTCCTGTATGAGTACTCCACTCTTTGATATCAAACTTATTCGTTTGGAAGTTCCAAATCTAGCACAACCGATCATCGGGAGTGATAGCTAACCTTTTCGATGGCAATTGAGTATCAATAGATGATCATTCGCCCTCGTGTCATGAGGGGAATATCCTATGTATTCTTGCTTAAGAAAATCACTAGCTAGGGTCATTCGGATTGAGAGAGAAAAAGTTCTCCGATAGAATCTGATTAGAGCGAAACTTAAGTAGATTCCGTATAGGCCTGATAGCACCATACTCGATATATGGTCTCTGGGATATTAAATATATGAGATATTATAGATACATGGTAACTAAGGACAGATAGATCCAATAGATTAGATCCCCCTGTTTTATCTGGGGATTATGACGTAGTGGCTTAGTATATTCATAATTGATGAGTTGAGTGAATTATTATTAAGATAATAATTCACTTAGTTAGAAGGACTTTTGATATGTACGACTTACGGCTAGTTCAATGTTGGGCCTAGAGGGTCACATATATATGGTAAGTATTGCGACAAGTAGAGATTAAGATATGAGATATACGTTGGAGCTCCTATCTTATTAGATATCCAATAAACCCTTGAATTATTGAATCTTCGAGATGAGACTCAATATAAGTCAATAATAGATTGTTGGATAGAGATCTATTAATCCAAGAGGTTTGGGTAGTTAAATAAAGATCTAGTACCTAATAAGACAAGATCCATTATGGTTAAATTGACAAGGACCTCTATAAATAGAATGGAACCAAAGGGGTATAAGCTAGACCCTTTTTAGTTGCCACCTTATATTCTCTTCTCTCCCTCTCCTCCTTAGCCGACAGCCCCAGTTTAGGGTGTGTGGACAACAAGAAGAGTTGGCCCCTTCTTGATCACGTGGTGCACATGGATAGGAAGATCGTGTAGTAATTTGAGGAGTGTCTTAATCGCATCTGCCGTATGGATCACTACTAGAGAAGTGGACAATTAACCTCTTTCATCCACTCCTATAGATTTAAAAAATTAGGAATATATGATATTCTTAGGTAATAAATCTCTCTTGATATGCATTATTTTTTATTTTATGTTTTTTTTTGTACACCAATCTTTGTATGACGACGAGAATCTTTTTCTTTAGAAAATATGGGATTTTGTTTTATGTTCTTCTACTATACATATGATACTCTGTTCAAGCTTCCCAATAGGTCCCCCATGTTATATGCCAAGTGTTTTAAGTGTATTTCTCTCACTCTTATATCATTTGTCTCGTGTCAAGATAAATCTATTACTGTAGAGGCATAAGGCCAAATGTGCCTGATATATGTAAGTCGAGAAATCTCGATCCATGCCAAGATAAATTCATAATGATAGAGGTGCAAAGCCAAATATGCTTGAGGTATATAAGTCAGAAAGCACGACTAGTGCCGATATAAATCTATTATGGTAGAGGCACAAGCTAAATGTGCATAAGACGCATGAGTTAGAAAACCCAACTGGAGCTTAAATAAATCTACTATAGTAGAGGCACAGGTCAAATATGCTTGAGGTGTGTGAGTTTAGAAACTCGACCGATGTTGAGATAAATCCACTATGATGGAGGCACAAGTTAAATATGCCCAAGGCATCTAAGTTAGGAAAGTCGACCAGTGCCAAGAAAAAACCATTACGATGGAGGCACAAGCCTAATGTACCCAAGACACCTTAATTAGAAAAACCCAACTTGTAAAATGAGATCCTAAACACTCCCATGTTAGAAAATATCGATCATCGTATTTCAAATCTCTCTTGTAAGAGCCTTAAAGCATGTCTTAGGAGGGGACAAATAATAGAGAATCTATGATCGGTTGACACGTGATTGTCATGCGAGATCCAAGTCATCCTCCATCTGTCTACGTATACAAAGAGTCAAAATAGAGAAAATAAGCTTTCTTCTTATTCTTTATGACAATAAGGGTAATCCTAAAACCTAGTCTCTTTTTTTTTTTTTATGACAAGGAGGATAATTCTAAACCCCCTTCTCCTCTTTTATGACAAGGAATATAATTCTAAACCCTCTTCTCGTCTTTTATGACAAGGAATATAATTCTAAACCCTCTTCTCCTCCTTTATAATAAAAGAAGGTCATTACGAAATTTCTTCCCCTCTTTTAAAGGTATAAAAGCATATCCTATAGGGAAAAAGAGATGAACTCACTCTTTTGAACTACTCAAATCAATATTTGAGGATCTCATATTACTAATTAAGCATCGAAAAGATTGAGTCGAGAAATCCTTCTCGACCTCGATCTTCATGCAGTGAAACCTTGGGAGTACGGTATTTTTATCTTAAGAGCATGGTATTTTCATCTCAGAGATATCTCGGACAATCTGAACCATATCAAACTGATCATAAACATCAATGATATTTTTTCCTACCAAATTTAAAGAGTAATTGAGTTATAAGGCAGAGTTCACCCACCCTTGTACCCATGGGTGTGGCTGATCGCTTCGATCATTAACTGAATTGCTGTCGATAAGGTGGTAGGCCACCCATCGCTTGGGCCAATTATTTGCGTTCTTTCGGCTATCTTCACCATGCATCGACTAGTTTTCAACCACCGTCGCAATTAGCTGAGCTTTCAAAACATCGCAAACTTAATCAGTCGATAAATGTTTCGTATAATTTTCTCAAAGGAAGTGACAGTTAACTTTATGATGAAGCTCTCGTCAAGTGAGAAGGGAATAGTTGCATCTTTTGTTTTCTGGTAAGAGAAAAGTGAAACAAAATCACATCTATGATATTCTATCAAACATCTCAGAATACAAACAAGATTCGTATTTATAAAATTATGTAAAGCATCTTAGAATAGAAACTCGTCATTCAAGTACTATTATTCGTACTACAAAAAGAAGCATATCAATTGATTATTCACTAGTTAGAATAAGCGAGTTTCATGTCTTCGACCAACTCTAAAGATGCCTCTCACTCACACATCGATCAGTTGCTATCTCTTAGTACATACTCTCCACCATCGTCTTCATATATGCATCCAGTTCAAGGGATTCCCACGTTGATTCTAAGTTCAATAACCCATCCTTCATATCAAATGTGCCGGAGAAAACTGATCCTGTCACTTCGGAGGGTAACAGATGCACCAGCTCTTGATCACCGAACAATGGGATGCTACGACTCTGGCTATGGTTGGGCGTGACAGCCAATGGAGGACAAAGGTGCTGGTCTTGGATGACGAAGGAGCTCGGTCTACGGTGGTCATACGACGCTGCTGAGTTTTCAACAAGTGATTCCATCACGGAAGGGAAGTTGGTCTCGACGACGTTCTTGCAGGTGTGTGTCATGGTATAGACTACGAGATAGTTGGGTGGATCTGCATCGCTATCATCCTTTTGCACCGTCTTTCTTGCTTGGCACCCTTGATCTGTGCTGTAAGTGCACCTGAAGTAGCTTCTGTAGAGAAGTGTATATTTAGGATGAACCGATTAGAAATGCATTGTGGAAACCACGCGAGCAGGGAAATTGCATCACTGAAATCGGAAACATTATGAAATAGAATCATATGGCAATTGCCGTTCACGAGGAGATGTAGAAACTCCCTTTCTGAAGGGGAATTGAAATTCCAACAAATGAGATGAGTCGACAAAAACTCGGCGGAAGAGCTTTTCAGTAATATAATTAATTATATTTGTTTGCATATCAAAATCATTTTTGAGTAGCAATTTTCGTATGAAAGTATATGCGTAGCCTTGTGAAAAAAAAAGACTTGGTATATGTCATATGTCTCTCCGTGTGTATGTTTCGACAATTTTTTTCTCATTCCGGTTCCAATTAATTTCAGTTCAGATTCTCATTTAGATTTAGTTCACGCTACGTGCATATTCTTTCTTTCCAACGCTTCAAGTATAGTTTAGGTGGACAGGGGTGTGTATTTTTATGGATTAAAGAAAAGAAGCCAACAATATGAGCTTACCTTGGATGTTTGGAACCGTGGATCAACTTCTGCCCATACTTCCTCCACTGATGGCCATCATACTGGACTGATGTGACTACCGAGTAAGAGTTTTCTTTCCTCCTGCAAGAACAAGTTGAAACTTCCGTGAGCGCTTGCTTGATCCCTTTTGTTTTTTTTTTTGCCCTTGTTATTCTCCTTTGAGGGCATAAGGAGATTGTTTCGATTTATATTATCTTAAGTGGAGCTTTATCACAACCATTTAACTTCCTTCTACATTGAACTATTCGAGATATTTTAGGCCAAGCAATCGAGGTGCGTGACTATGGCAAACCGTACACGAAGGTTGGAAATAGGTTTTGTGAGTGCAGGGGGTCAAAACCCACCTCTAACTAATTCTCTGTGCTATTTCTTGGGTTCTATTCATTTTCCAGATAGAAAGCATTAAGAATTGGTGTGGGGTACAAGTATATGATGTCGTCTCTACGGACACCAATCAGTCTAACAATCTAAAGATTAAAAACGCGTTTCCTCATCGGATGCATTATTGTGACAACGAACCATAATTTGGTAGATGTCAAAGCTGGATGTCCCACTGGTGACAATGGACGAAAGCTGATTCGTAAACCTAGAGTTTTCGCAGAAGCACCTGAGCTCCCAGATATCTAGATTCTCAAAGGATGTAGCAACAAGTACGTAGCTATGTTTCTATGGGCCGGAGAGGAGAGAGGAATAGGCGAGTCGACGCCGGTGAATCTGCCATTTGCAGTAAAACCATATGTGGCAGATTATTTAGCAAGTGGAAGGATGCAAGGATGAACAGGCTAATCGATCGATGCTATTATCCTATGTTGATGTTTTACCTTCGCTTGCGATTATCAGGCCAGTCCCCGTCTAAGTTCTTCCTTTTCTCCTCTGAAGAATAACCAGAACCTCTCCGATCATCAACGCTGCGTACATCCAAAGGCGTTGACCAGCAGCTGCCGGCATCAGACTGGAGCCTGGAGAGAGCGGAGGTATAGCACTGTTGCATCTCTCTGATCTGAGCCCTAGCAAGCTCCGACCAGCTACGGCCAGGAAGTAACGGCAGAAGAAGAGCCTGCAGTTGGCTTGTGAGCTCATGCGCACGATTGAGCTGCTCTATTACCATCGCGTGGTTGCATGCAGGCGAGAGTAGTAGGCCATGAGCAGCTGTGTAACATGGATCGAGCATCTCCATCTTGGATCTTCAGATGAAGATGAAGGTGCAGATGCAAATGAGGTGGGATAAGAGATGAGATGGAGCCTCTGTTTGAGGTACCGCAGTTTATATATAATAGAGAGATAGATAGATCCAACCACCGCGACTTGTGGGCAGCAGTTGAAGTTGGGGGTTTGGTTATTAATTAGTTTTATGTGAACGTATACGGTAGACGCGCGTAGTTACATTACATGGTTATGCATGCGTGATATACAATCGAGCGCTTCTCCCTCACGATGCTGCAGCAAAAGCTCCGGGTTGCGTCACCTCGTTGGATTGGGGGTCCAAGGGCCGGCGTGCAACGGTTCTAAAATGTGGCCGTGGGGTATACCACAGCCGCCGGGGACCCATGGAATGTAATTTACATTATTACATGCTACCACCACGGATTGAAGATAAAAAGAAATTCTTACGCGGAAGAGGAGGGAGGGGCCGGCCCCTACCACCCCCAGTCAATCATACCACACCACGGTGGTTGTGTCAACTCTTTCTCCTTTTGCAGTCTTCGGTCAGCTCAAAGACGAAGGCCGCAGAATGCCTACCCGATCAGTCGGCTACTTCCAGGATCCTGTATTCTGTGCATCGTCTTCCCTGGAGATATATGTATATGCACACTATATAATATTTATAAAAAAGAATATATATATATATATATATATATATATATATATATATA